GTTTTACCTATTCCACCTACTTCTTTCTAAGCCCTTCTAAAAAGATATCTTTTTCTTTAGTATTTCTGAAGCTTTAATATCTGCTCCTTGATGCATGCTTGCGCATCCTTCTCTCCTCAGGAGTGTCCTTGTCCTAACTTGAGCTGAAGGCTCCTTCTTTGCACTCCCATTTCTTTGCCTCACTCCATGAGCTTCTCCCAGCTTCAGTTACTTCTACCAATTACTTCTTCAGGCAGAAGTTCTTTGTTTTTGAGGAAAATGATGCAACTGCTACTCCTATATCCAGATAAGCATCTAAGTCCCTAGTGTTCTTCTTGAGACTCATGCACTGCACCCACAGAATCACAGAATCACAGAATGTTAGGGGTTGGAAGGGACTTCAAAAGATCATCTAGTCCAACCCCCCCCTGCCAGAGCAGGACCATCTAGGGAAGGTCACACAGAAACGTGTCCAGGCGGGTTTTGAATGTCTCCAGAGAAGGAGACTCCACAACCTCCCTGGGCAGCCTGTTCCAGCTCTCTGTCACCCACTGATGATGGTATGAATCTCATTGTATCCATACATTGTATTTGTCAAGGTCTAGTTAGTAAGTTCTGATTGTTTTCTCCACCTTGCCATCATATTTTGTATTCATATTTATGTTGGCCTCTGAGCAATATGTCTACACCAAGAACCTCTATCCTTTTTTCTGTCTTTCTTTGAATCAAGCCATTACTCAGTGGATTACAAGATGACACATTTGTACCCTCTTTTTAAACTACCATAAGAACATGTGGCAGGTAAAAAGAAGGGTCTATGACCCCACAGGCCCGCAAAGTCGTATGGCAAGCCAGACTGTACAACCACACGAGCATTAGCACTGGCACAGAAGAGAACTCACAGGCAGAGGAACTATAATAACGGGGAATCTGCCAGGCTGCCAGAGTCAGTATGCATACACCGAAGCGACACTATGATGACTGATTTTCTTTGATCTCAAGGTGGGCTAACTGGCTCACCCTCGTCATGAGCCATGGCTATTCTGCTTCCACCCGTGGGGTGGTTCCCCACACGGCATGATGTAGCCCACAGTCTTGCTGCCCGTGGTTTACCATCTGCCACTCAGTTACAGTCAAAGCTCCTTTTATTGGTCTTGGCTGTTATAGGAGCTGTGTTTCCAGCTTCTGCTTTAAAAAAGTTCTTCTTTAGTCAGCACTTGCTACCTGGAGCAGGCAGGGAAGGCGGGATGAAATGCCTTGGACCAGATTTTTAAAGGAGACTGACACTCGCAAATCGCTCTGACATGATTATACAAGCTGTGTTTTGGAAAGTCCCTCTTTAGAAGCAAAGAAGAGAAAGCCTGGGACAAAGAGGAAAGCGAGAGCAAAACTCACCCAGTGAGTGAGCGAGTATGGAGTAAGTAAAACATCAACTTTTTTATATTAAAAAAAATAAAATATTAAGTCGTCTCCGTTTTTCCCTCGGGGAGGACTTTTTCCTCCCTCCCAGAAAGCTGACACTCCTTTCAAGGCGGGGCCGGGGGGGTGCCCTGCCGGGCGCTTGGGAAGGCGGAGCTGCAACGCTGAACTTCACCCGACCGAGCTGAGCTCCCCTGGGGCTGCTCCGCTGGGTCGTACACAGCGAAAACAACGTGTGAGCGGGGTTAGGGTGCGTGCTTGGGGGGAGGAGGGGGGATACAATAATTAATAGTCTCTGTTTTCCTTCCCTCGTTAGTGATTCAAAGCAAACTTGAGTTTTCGGAGGGCTGGATGGTGAATGGCAGGTATTCTGCTTTTATTATTAATTATTGCTAGAGTTACCGCAGCTTTACAGCGGCGCACAGAAAGCACCATTTGCCTCCAGGTGCTCCACGTGATCTTCTGTGTTTATCCAGCAGCCGTTCTCCTAGCTGACGCTCTTTTTACCTCGTTTGTCCACCCTGTTTCCATCTCCCACTTCCCACCCTTACACGTTGCTCTAGCCCCGGCTGTGATTTGCGCTGCGCTGCTCAGAGCTGAGCGGTTTGAAGCCGGGAGGCACAGTTTGATCATTTGGACCAGGGAGTGCTAATCATGATGTGAAAACACGTGAGCTAATTTGAAGCCTAGGGCCAGGCCATCCCCTTCTGCTGCTGCTCTGAAGGCAGGGTGCTGCTGTGCAGCAGCAAGGCTAGAACTGTTTATCCACAATAAATCAAAAAAATTTGGGTTTCTTGTCACGAGAGTCTTAGTTACTGACAATGCCCAACGCTAAGTGGTAATACAGTGCTGTAATCATGGTAATGGATAACAAATACTGATATTATCCGGGTCAGTAAGAACTAAATCCCCCCAGTGAGCACTGTAGCAGCTGATTCCCTGAGACTGCAGAACAGAAAGGAAGAAAGACAGACCCCCAAGCATCTCCTGATTTTTGGCTTCTACCCTTCTTGCAAGGACACCCCTTGTTCTATGGTTGATGAACAGCACCTGTTTCTGGCTCACCAGCTGCAAGCACTGAGCAAGTAACTGTTCACACCAGCTGGGAGCTTTTTCTTCCTTGTTTTACTCATTCCCTACTTGTTGCCTCTCCTCTTCTGAACATTAGAATGCCTAGAAGTCATGAGAGAGAGGGAGGAAAGAAACAATAAGGTGGAACAGCAGGTTGTAGATGGTATGTGGCATGTGTTTCTTCCAGAGCCGTAATGCAAGCTGAAGTTAGCATTTTTAATTATATTCTAATATACTGTTGAATGTGGTTAACCTGTTGCGTAGTGTATTTTTATAGAAGGAGAAAGTGAGTGTTTATTTTCAGCTAACCAGCAATATATTTTGAAAATTGTCCTAATACACACACCACATTTTTGTTGTATTTAAACAAGTGGTAAAGGGTTTGGGGTTTTGTCTTGTTTTTGCATCAGTGTGGAAATAATTTCCTTCAGTATCTGAACTTAGATGAAGAAAACAAGAAGGCAAATTCTTTTGCTGTGTCTGTACTGAGCTGACTTTTAGCTCAACTGACAAGAGCTTATTCCAAATGCTCCTGTTGGGGCTGTATCTCTTAACATTTTTAAGAATGAAAACTTCCTTTCAGCTCTGGTGGATTCCTACAGCGAGTGGTGGTGTTGCTGGGCATGAGGGTGAAACATGAAATATGCATGGCTTCAACAAATATTTTGGCCATGGGCAGATATTTCCAAAGTGAAGGTTTGTCCTTTTTTCTTCTCTGTCAGACTCCAAGAAGGATAAACCCTAATCTGGGGATATATTCAACAAGTAAAGTATTTGGAGGATGGGGAACTGCCTGGAGCCAGCTGCAGTTGGCGAAGAGGGGACTAATTTTCTAGCGCTTTCAGGCTTGCAGCTTGCTTTCCGTAAAGCAAAGCTGAAAGAACCTGGGGTCTGCACAAGGAAGCTGGCTGGAAAAAGCTATATAATGCTACTTGGAGTTGTTACAAATCCATTTTTGTTAGGTCCATCTAATTCAGCCACTTACTATATAGTGCAAAACTTCTATTACCGTGTCTCTTCAAGGGACTGTTGAGGCAGCTG